TATCTCAGATTCTCCAGCATCTGCTGTTCCTACTGTCACTAGCATTTCATGATGTCCTGTAAAAACTGATGCAGAATTTCAAAGAAAAGAGTATTGGAATCAATTCTGTTTGATATTATGATACAGATTAACTGGGCAAGTGTTTCTGAAAGAAATACTTCCATTCGTGTAGCTTAGCGTTTAAAAATTATATCTCAGAATGCTTTACACAATAAACTAGGGTGAGCTATTCAGTGGCATGTTAAAAAATAATTCATGGGATTATGGGTGTCTCTGGCTGAGCCAGCGTTTATTGCTCATTCCTTATTTGCCTGAAGAAAGTGAAGTGCTTTCTTCAACCACTGCAGTGCTTGGGATGTAGGGACACACATGGTTCTGTTAAGAAGTGAATGCCACGATTTTGACCCAGTGACAAAGGAGGAATGATTATACAGGAAGTGACCACGTAGTCAGAAAGGTGTGCGCCTTGGATGGAAACTTGCACATGTAATGAACCCACGCATTGTTGTTCAAGGTGATCAATGTTGCAGGTTTCAAAGGTGTTCTCAGAGGAGCCTTAGTGAATTACTGAAGAACATTTTGTAGATGGCGCACAATGCCGGTATTGTCAATCAGCAGTGGAGGAAGTAAACATTAATGGTGGCGGACGGGGTGGCAACGAAGTGGACTGCATTGTACTGACTGCTTTTGAGCTTCTCAAGTGTTTTTGGAGCCGCACCCATTCAGGAAAATGGAGAGTATCCCATTACACTCCTGATAAATGCATTGCAGATGGTGGTGAAGCTTAGACAGATAAATGGCAAGTTAATCAACAAAGAATCCTGAGCCTCTGACCTGCTTATACAGCCACAGTATTTTCAAGGATGATCCAGTTCTGTTTCTCGTCAAAGGTAATTCAACAGAAAGTAGGTTGACGAGGACTCAATAATACAAACGCCGTTGAATGTTAAGGAAAGATGGTCGGACTGTTTCCGATTGAAGATGGTCATTGCCTGGCCATGCGTAGCATGCATGTTCCTCATCATTTATCAGCAAGTCCAGATGTTCACCTGTATATGGACTCGAGTTGCTTTGGTATCTAAGAAGTCATGAAAGGTGCTCAATGTCGTAGAATCATCAGTGCGTATTCCCACATCTGACCTTATGGTGGAGAGAGTATTCATGAAGGAGCTGAAGATGGATGGGTCTAGGGAACCACCCAGAGGGACTCTTGCAATGAAGTCCTGAGACTGAAGTGAATGAGCTCAAACACCACAATCATCTTCCTTTGTGCTACATTTACCATCAACCAGTGGAGAGCTTTCCCCCTTATTCCCACCGAATCCAGTTTAGCTGGAACTCCTTAGTACCACAATCAGACAAATGTTCCATTGCTGTCCATTACCTTACTTCTGGAGTTCAGCTCTAGACCATGTTTAGGCCAAGGCTGTTTTGAGGTCAGAACCCAATCTGAGCACCAGTGAGCAGGTTATTGCTGAGCAGGCATTGCTTGATAACACTGTTACTGACAGCTTCATTCACTTTGCTGATGATCGAGAGAAGATTGAGAGGGCAGGCAATTAGTTAGTTTAGATTTTTCCTGCTTTTTCTGCACAGGACATACCTGGGTGAGTTTCCACATGGTCAGATAGATGTCCTTGTTACTGCTGTTCCTGAACAGTTTAAGCTAGGAGCATACTTAGTTCTGGAGCTCAAGTCTTCAGTACTACTGCCAGAATGTTATTTGAGTCCATAAGCTTTTGCAATAGCTAGTGCCTTCCATTATTTCTTGAAATCATGTAGAGTGTATCAAACTGGTTGAAGACCAACCCTGTGTTGCTAGGGACCTCAAGAGGCTCATACAGATCATCATACAATATTTTCCTATGGCTGCATTGTAATGATTGCCAATCGTTTGTTTGACTCTTTTTTTACATTGAGGGAAGAGTGCTTCCTAGTATCCTAGAGAAAAAGAAGCACCATTGGATCTTTAATATCTACCTGAACATGCAAACACAAACTCAGTTCCAAATCTGTTAAGAAATAAACTAACTCAGAGTAGGAGTAGTCCATTTGGCCCTTCCAGCCTGCTCTGAATTGATGGTACGCCAAGAAGGCAAAACTTCCGGATTCATTGTACTTTTGGTCCAAATGTAATTGTCAACTCCACTTTCCTGCAATTTCATGATAAAATCTGACTATCTTTGCCTTGAGTATACTTAATGTCCAAGCCTCTACAGTCCTTTGCAGTAAAGAATTTCATAGATTCACAAGCCTCTGAGAGAAAATATTCCTCCTCATTTCTGTCTTAAACGTGTGGCCTCTTATTCTAAGATTATGTCCTGTGGTCCTAGACTCTCCCATAAGGATCTTCCATGTCAAGTTCCCTAAGAATCTTGTATGTTTCAGAAAGGTCACTTCTCATTCTTCTAAAACTCCAGTGAGTACATACCCAACCTACTCAACCTCTCCTCATAAGACAAGCTCTCTACACCTGGGATCAGCCTAGTGAACCTTATCTGGTCTACATAAGAACTAGGAGCAGGAATAGGCAAATCAGCCCCGTGAATCCGCACCATCACTCAATACGATCATGGCTGATCTCATCTTGGCCTCAATTCCATTTGCCTGCCCACTCCTATAAAATCCTTAAATCTACCACCCCTTAGCCTAAAACTATGACCTCTCACTCTAGTTGCCACACAAGGGGAAACACCCACTCTACATTTACTTTGTCAATCCTTTTTAGCATCTTATATACGCAAGATCTTCTTTCATTCTTCTAAACTCTAGAGCATATATGGGCTCAATCTCTCCTTATAAGACAAGCCCCTCATCTCTGGAGATAATCTAGTGAACCTACTCTGAACTGCCCTACACTTCCTTACTTTTATACTCTGTTGCTTTAGCAATAAATGCCAAAACATGATCTCCTTATTACCTAATATACCTGCATGCTAGTTTTCTGTGATTCTTGCTCAAGGACACCAAGTTCCCTCTGCGACAAAGCACTCTGAATTTTCTTTCCATTTAGATAATAAGTTGTCTTTTTAGTCTTCTGACCAAAGAGAATAACGTCACACTGATCCAAATTAAACTATACCTGCCAAATTTTAGCCCACTCAGCTGACCTATCCATATCCATTTGTAACTTTCAATTCTAGCTCCAAGCAAACAAATCAAATTTCACAGATACAAATTTACACAGAAAGATCTTACAATCTTATTTAAAGTTCTTGGGTACATGTTTCTCTTTGGTGTTTTGAGACCTGTGCCTTAACATGGTTTTTGCTGAGGCTTTACAATAGCTCAAATTTAATCAGGGAGTGGCTAAGCCAAACATATGAGGATCATCCAGCTCTAAACTGTGAATTGTTCATCAAAAGTAGGGCCAAAGTCGAACATTTGCACTTCTAATCCTTGTCCAGTAATTATTGTTGCAAGTGTGAGTGCATTTGTTTGAACATCAAAAGGACAAAACAAAGGCAGCTCCAATACCCTACAGTTAAACTTTATTGAATACTACCAGGGGCAGTTAAGCACACTGTTGTCAAGCCTCGAGTCACATTTAGACCAAACGAGGTTAAGGGCAGCAGATTGTCTTCCCAAAAAGATATTAGTGAA